ATTTAGGAAATGCTGGGGATAATCTCGTTGTTTAAATATTTATTTCATGAGAATTAAAAGTACGAATCAAAACAATATATGAGATCCTGTTACTCTTTTCAATTTCCATGACTGAGCTATCAGGTAGAGTATAGTGATTCTGACGACCCGCCTCTTCAATTTTCAGAAAAATATCATCATATTAGTTTTTGAAACAATGGTCAAAACCTTCTTAAGCAAGGCTTACCATGTTAACATGTTCACAGGGGGGAAATGAAAACTTCAACAATATTACTGTGTGGTAACTGTTAAACGGTGGCGCAAATTGCAGTGGTTGTTTAACAACAACGCTCAAAGATAGATGGCACTGTCCAAAAACCCACAAGAAACATGATCCTCTTACATGGAACAGGAATGAAACAACCAACTCGTAGGCTACCGCCATCTTTATGAGTTAATAAGACGGGATGAGATGTTTTTGAATTTATCCTTTAATCTAAGAATGACGCATGCCCGATTGGGGGACGTCAGTGTGCGGCATACAAAATATAAAATGCTACCACTCACATGTTACGTATCCCAAGGCCATGAATGACGCATGCCCGATTGGGGGACGTCAATGTGCGGCATACAAAATATAAAATGATACCACTCACATGTTACGTATCCCAAGGCCATGAATGACGCATGCCCGATTGGGGGACGTCAATGTGCGGCATACAAAATATAAAATGATACCACTCACATGTTACGTATCCCAAGGCCATGAATGACGCATGCCCGATTGGGGGACGTTGAGTGAAATATTTGAGTCTTTCTAGTCTGCCAATGATTAAACTTAGCATTATTCATACCATTTATGGTTTTAAATGTTTTGCCATTTATATCTACCAATGAAATGTTTTTATAGAGTCAATTATCATTTATTTTCATGGCGACATCTATTTGTCATTGATTTCAATACTTTTTCTAAAATTCTTATTTAGGGGTGTCCTGCTTTGGTCATGGCGCTTATATATATTTTATTTTTCAAATGAATCACGAGTGTATTTGTGATAATTCGTTTGTGATTTTGTGATTGATGGATTTCTTTAAAGGGATGTTTCATCGGGAATAAATGACCATATTTTCAAGTTGCATGGGGATCAACTTCCCGAATTTTTATGAAGGTATAGCCATTGCAAATCAATTGAAAGATGATATTATACTCTAGGAACTTTTCATTGTGATATCATTTTAATCCACTCGTTGATATCAATATCTGCACTCATTCGCTACGCTCCCCCGTCCAGATATTGATATTAACTCGTAGAAATTATATCACTTTAAATCATATCCTACATACACGGCAACACTTTCACAGTTTCGGTCAAAACTTGTTTTCTGGAATTCCTAGAGATATTTTTCCAGAAGTTTTCATTTGCCTCATATTATAATTAGCTACGAATATGTTTGGTGTAAAGAAATATTGGCCTCGCTATTGGCCATACATATTATATATCTAAAAACAAACAAGTGCTAGTCGTTTATCTATATCCCCACATACAAATAATCCTATCTTTTAAGATAAACTACTATATGTCACTCTCGAACAGGACATTCTATGAAATAAATCATTGATTTTGCACTTAACATACCTTTATTCAAAAGAAGTTCCACGTTTTTATATGTTGTTAAAGGTTCTTATAATTATTCTCTTGAAGTGTTCTTAATACTTAGAATAGTCTATAACCATTTTTGAGTATAAGTAATGCGTAAGAAGAAGGAATATGCACCCATCGTCCCTTAGTCCTATCTAGATGTAAACATATGAAAGGAGGATCATTTCTATGTTGACTAAAACCATGTAGAATATAAGTTCAAAACACTTTGATCACTTAAAACTTAAAAGTTAAAAGCTATGAATCCTTAAAATTGAATATGATCAGATTGTCGTCAGTGAAGCGGAATGGAAATTCCAATCAAAATACGCATGCAAAAGATGACATGATGAAGATGTTTATAATTGCTGCTGCTGCCTGCAATACGACGACTTCCAAATTGATAAGAAAACTATTTCTGAATGAACAAGTGTTTCATGCTTCAATGATTACAGAAAATGTCAAAGTCTGTTGTGTACGTTGTAGATTATTATGAATTTAAAATATTTTATGGTTATTTAGAATGGGAATTTTAACTAATAGAGAGATTTTACATCTCACTTATATCGTGTGCTTATAAATCCATTATATTTTATTTTTGTGTATGTAAGTACGTCATCATTTGTCGCGTAGCTCTATACGCCTGGAAGAAGCCAGTGAGTATAACTTGTTTTGTATAAGTGAGTAATCAAATATATGTTTTATGTTTAGACATAATTATTGGTCTGGAATAACAGTGATAATTGTCATAAAGTCATAGTAGTATCCATTCGACAATATTAACAAAGTCTTAGTAGTATCCATTCGACAATATTAACAAAGTCATTGTAGTATCCATTCGACAATATTAACAAAGTCATAGTAGTATCCATTCGACAATATTAACAAAGTCTTAGTAGTATCCATTCGACAATATTAACAAAGTCATAGTAGTATCCATTCGACAATATTAACAAAGTCATAGTAGTATCCATTCGACAATATTAACAAAGTCATAGTGGTATCCATTCGACAATATTAACAAAGTCATAGAAGTATTCATTCGACAACATTAACAAAGTCATAGTAGTATCCATTCGACAATATTAACAAAGTCATAGTAGTATCCATTCGACAATATTAACAAAGTCATAGTAGTATCCATTCGACAATATTAACAAAGTCTTAGTAGTATCCATTCGACAATGTTAACAAAGTCATAGTAGTATCCATTCGACAATATTAACAAAGTCATAGTAGTATCCATTCGACAATATTAACAAAGTCATAGTGGTATCCATTCGACAATATTAACAAAGTCATAGTAGTATTCATTCGACAACATTAACAAAGTCATAGTAGTATCCATTCGACAATATTAACAAAGTCATAGTAGTATCCATTCGACAATATTAACAAAGTCATAGTAGTATCCATTCGACAACATTAACAAAGTCATAGTAGTATCCATTCGACAATATTAACAAAGTCTTAGTAGTATCCATTCGACAATATTAACAAAGTCATAGTAGTATCCATTCGACAATATTAACAAAGTCATAGTAGTATCCATTCGACAATATTAACAAAGTCATAGTAGTATCCATTCGACAATATTAACAAAGTCATAGTAGTATCCATTCGACAATATTAACAAGGGATCTGGTTGAGAAAACTTTTCATTTTCCATGAAAATGATATAAGAACTGGTTGATAAAATGTTTGTCGACGAGTAAAAGTATTCTTTAAAAAAATGATAATAAACAAGTTATACTTTCACTTATAAACAAAATCACTTTATTAGAAGAGAACAACTACACTCTTAAAAATGAATTACTTGAGTATTTCCCAAGTATAAAAATTACTTAAAGTTAAATACTTAGTTTTACTTCATTTTACTTAGGTTTTACTTATATTGTCATTTTGAGTTTTTTTTTACTTAAAATTAGTAGTACAAGTTCTCAATATAAGGAAATCCAAGTAATATTTTTTAAGAGTGTACTTTTAGTGTTTGAATACTTTTTAATACATAATTATATTTCACGTTCTCGTTACAATTTGCTCATGAAATTCACTGAATTCATTTCGTTGTATTGTTAGTTTATTGTGTTGCACAGTTTAAAGTTTAATATAGTTTATTTTTGTGTCACAAGCATGTTAAAATACATTTAAAACATTTTAAAAACATTTGCTTCCAGCCGATGTCGGCTTATGAGACACCATATGGTACATGTATACAAAATATTCATTTTTCAACAAAATATTCAATTTTCAATGTAAACTTACTAAATGCAAAATAAACAGTCATAGAGACCATGTATACAAAGTTCATTGTTCCTTTACTTATACTGAAAGGAGACATCTTCCCCAAGGTTGATGTTCCTGTAGATAAGTGGAAAAAGAAACCATGATCAATTGGTGATGTGAGGGCCCTCTGGTTGGTCCAATACCCCCAAAGGGGTCCCCACAATGTAGTAGATTTACAGAGTTGCTATTATGTTATACATTATTATGGAAATATCTATGCATCATTTATACATTATGACAGTATCACAATTCTAAATAGTGAGTAAAAGGTGCTGTAAAGTGGCAAAATCGATTTTATATGGCCTCCATCCAGTCATACTATATAAATATATAACTGACCATTGACAGATAACATTTCTGTGCTTATAACAAAATAGAATATGAGACAATTCATTAGTTTGCTATTCTTGAGTAATTACAAATATAGGTTCTGTTAAAGTCTTTCTAGATCAAAGTTCCTTTTACTGAACATCTTAAACAGTGTACTTGCAAAGGTTCTCTGTATACAGGGTGTGTGCATAAGTCTAGAGAACAGCATAATATGATCATTTGTACCAGTATCAATGTTAGGGGCCAGTGTATTAACAGAAGCTAGAAAATTATTTCTCAAATCATTGTAGTGAGAGCACCTGAGAGTGAAGTGTATCTCATCCTCAATCTCATTAGTGTCACATAAAGCACATTTTCGTTCCTCTAGGGGTGTATTGGTATAACGGCAGTCACAGTTTAAATTTGTGGTCAAGACTACGTGACCAGAAGATATTATTGAAAACAATGTACGGATGTTACAGTTCTTCACTCAAACGACAGCGTAATCTTGTTGACGTCGATTCTCAAGTGGAACTTTAATCAATTATTTGATGAATTAAATGTACGGTTATCAAGATAATACAACTAGAGCACAACCCCGCAAAAATTATATTCTATTCATTTCTATTTATTTTCAGCCAGACCTCTGCTTTACGTGATCGAGAGAAAGGATGAATTGAGGAATCAAACGTTAAGAAGGTCATTATCATATTTGACTTTCAATGTAACACGAGCAATGCTCTTTAAATAATTGCAATTGGTTATTTTTTTTCTTGGTTATACGAACATTTGAGCAGCAGTGTAAAATGCTAAGAAGTACAGCGCACAGTAAAGTAGACAAAATGTTTTGAACTCATGTCGCCGATTTTACGGTGTAGAATTAACACATAAGGACTGGGTTACGCTATTTTAAGATTTAATTTGTTTTAAAGACAAATAAAAATAAACAAAAGTTTATTTTAGGAATTAAAGTTATTTCTAATCAGCGCCTTAATTGGTCCCACACTACTTTGAAGTTATACAAAAAGCAATTTGGATTTGACGACAATACATCTAAAATCACGCTCGGATATTCAGTTTGTTTTTTACAACAAACTACAATACAAAATGACGGCAAAAGAAACAAAAAATGGAATATCTCACATTGATAGGAAAGTGTTGAAACGACAGGCTTCTTCTACAGACAGAACCTGTGGAGTAGGATCATGTACCCCACAATGTATCCAGCCGATGGCCGACATGCGCCTTTTCGTTGTGTGTATTGGGATATTTTCTATGTGCTACGGAATGGGTCAGCCTTATTTGTCATCTTTTACATCCACACTTGAAAAACGATTCTCCCTTCCAAGCTCAAAGATGGGCATTTTGATGTCAACTGACAATGCAGGATTTGTCGTATCAACAGTCTTAGTGAGTCACTTCGGGAGGCATACGCATATGCCACGGCTGTTCTTCGGAGCAGGATGTCTCACCTCTTTAGCTTTCATCATAATGATTTTTCCACATTTTATATTTGGATCCGGAATGGACACAGGGGACATGTTAGGAGGATCCGCTGCAATGGGGTCAAATAACACAACTCTTGGTGGATCAAATACTCAGGAAGGTCTATGTGACACGACAGCAGGGAATTTAACTTTAAATTCAAGCAATCACGAAAGAACATGCAACAATCAGGATACGGAATCGAACAGTAATAATATTGCATTTGGAATTTTTGCAACAGCACAGTTCATGTTCGGTGTGTGCACCTCACCATTTTTCACATTGGGTCTGGTGTATATTGATGATAATGCACAAACTAAAAGACAATCATCGGCCTATTACGGTAGGTTTACGTCCTGCAGTACCTAAATAATAAATATTGAGATAAAACTACTTCAATTCGAGATAGCAAGGGTCATCGAGCCTCGTGTGAAAGGGTTAAAGGTGTATATTTTGCTGAATTCATCTCAATTGTTCCTACTGATTATGTGCATTGCGCACGAGTAACACGCATAATAGCTCGAAAAGCTTCATAACGCGTATGTATAGGCATCAGTGAGGCATCAGTTTTCTCTTGGTAATTTGTGTACATACATAACTCGCTAATCTACACAAATCATAAATATTTTCAACTCGTATAAACTTATGACTTGGTCATATTTGCTCCGATCCATCGGCCGGCGCCTGGCTGTTTGAGTGTTTCGTTCAATATTGTATTCAATTTTGAACAAAATTCTCAACCGGTCGGGCGCTGTAGTGAAAATCGGAGCAAATGTGACCAAGGCATTACTTAACTCGACCATACCAGCTTATTTCTCGGTTCCATACAATTAAATTGTCCTTAAACATAATTGTTACACTCAAAATAAATAGAGAACGCGTTCTCGTTTGTGCTTTACTGAATTTGAACTACCACTCCCATGCATACATGACTCGTACTTATCCTCACAATATTAACCTCAACCATATGTATGTGCAGACATTACTCGTTAATACCAACATAATGTCTAACCATATGTATGTGCAGACATTACTCGTAAATACCAACATAATGTCTAACCAAATGTATGTGGGGACACAACTCGTAAATACCAACATAATGTCTAACCATATGTATGTGCAGACATAACTCGTAAATACCAACATAATGTCTAACCATATGTATGTGCAGACATTACTCGTAAATACCAACATAATGTCTAACCAAATGTATGTGAGGACACAACTCGTAAATACCAACATAATGTCTAACCATATGTATGTGCAGACATAACTCGTAAATACCAACATAATGTCTAACCATATGTATGTGCAGACTTTACTCGTAAATACCAACATAATGTCTAACCAAATGTATGTGAGGACACAACTCGTAAATACCAACATAATGTCTAACCATATGTATGTGCAGACATAACTCGTAAATACCAACATAATGTCTAATCATATGTGTGTGCAGACATTACTCATATGCCAATAATTATTCCTACACAATTTAAAGTAATTTAATAGACTACAAACCTGCATGACTTGACAAATGCCATCATGAATCTGATAAACGTTATTTACTAACAATACTCCTGCATAACTCGAAGGCTTAACATAATTTCAACATAACTCAACTCGCATGCCGCACTGACAAAACTCGAATACACCAGTCTAACTTGTATGGCAAACCTTCTTCGATGGCACTAACACAACATATTATTAATGCCGCTGTAACTACTCTTACAATCCTGCAAACACACACTTTGATACACGTTCCCATCGACTTTGACCGGATAGTTTTCTTTTATAATAGGAGTCTTGTTTGCAATCAGGATGCTGGCCCCGGTGTTGGGATATCTGGTGGGTGGATGGATGTCTACTATTCCCGCGGATGTTCAATGTAAGACATGTAAATGCCTTTCACATTTCGTTCGTTGCATTTCCTAATCCGAGGATTTGGTAAAGGTTCAAATGTTAACATGGCTTGCTTCCTTATAAACGTGAAATCCTATTCACTGTTCAGGCAGTAAATCTGCGTTTCTATCTTCAATCTGCGGTATCTTCAATGCCAGTTCTGTTTACGTCATTTAATTTTCAGCGTTTCATATCTCACCACGTGATCCCCGTTTCATCGGTGCATGGTGGCTGGGGTACGCTGTCTTGGCAATCCTTATGTTCCTCTCCGGGGTTCCGTTGCTCTTCTTTCCTCGACACCTGAAAAAATTGACAGCAAAGGAGAAAAAAAGAATCGATGCAGAGGAAAGTAACGCGATGGGAGGTGGTTTCAACAAGGCTCTCGTGGAAATGAAAGGTAACTATAGCAACAATGCATCGGGAGGTGGCCTTTCAATAAGGCTCTCGTAGAAATGAAAGGTAACTATAGCAACAATACAACGGGAGGTGGTTTCAACAAGGCTCTCGTGGAAATGAAAGGTAACTATAGCAACAATGCAACGGGAGGTGGTTCAACAAGGCTCTCGTAGAAATGAAAGGTAACTATAGCAACAATGCAACGGGAGGTGGTTTCAACAAGGCTCTTGTAGAAATGAAAGGTAACTATAGCAACAATGCAACGGGAGATGGTTTCAACAAGGCTCTCGTGGAAATGAAAGGTAACTATAGCAACAATGCAACGGGAGGTGGTTTTAACAAGGTTCTCGTAGAAATGAAAGGTAACTATAGTAGCAATGCGACGGGGGAGGGTTGTTTCAACAAGGTTCTCATGGAAATGAGAGGTAGCTACAGTAACAATGTAACGCTAACGGGAAGTGGTTTAACAAGACTCTCGGGGAAATGAAGGGTAACTATAGTAACAATGCAACGGGAGGTGGTTTCAACAAGGCTGTCATGGAAGTGAAAGGAAACTATAGTAACAATGCAACGGGAGGTGGTATCAATAAGGTAACTATAGTAACAATGCAACGAGAGGTGGTTTCAACAAGGCTGTCATGGGAGTGAAAGGTAACTATAGTAACAATGCAACGAGAGGTGGTTTCAACAAATGCAAATGAAAGGTAACTATTGTAACAATGACGGCACTTTTATTTTTATGTTATACCCGATGTACGAAGGCTGTTTATAAAGTTTGGTGCAGTTTGATCTTATTTCAAGAGTTTTTGATATGCATTTTTTCATATACGTATTAACAAAATATTGAGAAATGTTTTCTACTATTTTCAACAGTGAGTCAAACGTCAAAAACTCCCCAAAGAGGCATGTCTCTGTGCCTGTGACGCTAGTAGGTCGAGTCACTTTCAAGTGTGCTAGTTTCGTGGCTTATTTTTGAAATATTTCAATTTCAATGTTTTATTCCGCTCTGCCTGTTTATGCTATTTATTAATATTGTTTACATAAAGGAACTATAAAAAACTATTCCACTCTCCTTCATTGGTTTTCTCTCAAAGTAAGCTCCTCCATCGGGTATGAATTTCTCGTGTCTTGCTACCCAAGCACCGAATGCTGCTTTGTAGGCCTGGGTTGGAAGAGCTCTGACTTCTTCATCAACAGCATCTTTGACCGCCTCATCATTATTGAAGGGGCTCCCTTTTAATCCACCTTTGATTTTTCGGAACAGTACATTGAGCCTCTCCGGGGGTCTATGGGGAATGGTAAACTTCAGCTTCTCTATAGATGCTCTCACCAGGTTACATGTTCTGTATGTGGCGAAGCGTTATCGTATCAGGCATCTTTGTTTTATTTGAGATTGGTCTTCCATTTTGACAAAAATGGCTGATTATATTATAATAATATGGGCCTAATTTTGGTTGCCATAGCAATCATAATTTCCCTAAATAAGGAGATATAGCTAACAAACATCACAGAAATGTTGCAACTTCCTACAATGAAATAATTGTATGTTTACGTTTTTATTCCAGATTTACCTAGAGCCATCTGGCGGTTGTGTAAGAATCCAGTGTACATAATTGCGGCTATTGGCGGTGTCTGTCACGTGTACATCTACGCCGGATATTTCTCGTTTCTCCCCAAGTTTATCCAGTCGTACTATCGGTTACCCATATCCACTGCCAGCGTTATTACAGGTATTTTCTGTTTCATATCATGCCAATAGTAAGTAATACCATTGTTAAGTCTCCAGATAATTAATACACCTAAAATATACTGCGTAAATTAAAGATAAGGCATTAACATGCAAAATGTCACCACTGATTTCTATGATAGCTGTTTAGTGTAGTGAATGCCCTTTCTGTACACATTCTAGGAATGAGTTTCGCTTTGGCGGGATCATTTGGCAATATCGCAAGCGGTATCATGTCCTCTAAATGGAACATGTCTGCAAGGACGGCTGCTATTGGTTGTTTTGCATCTGCCGTCATCAGTGCAGCTGGATTTGCTTCGTTGATGCTGTTCCCATGTAATGAACCAAAGATCCAGGGCTTTCAAATGGGAAGGTAGGTCCCCTATAACCTATAAAGAGACTATTCAGAGTTAACCTTATCGTACCCCCTCCCCTCCAATCATTAAAGGGGTTATACCATCATTATAATTAAAGTACAAAGTGGTATATTTTGACTGAGATATGCACACATAGAGGCATGTTCATTACAATCATCTTGGATTTCCAAGGTATGATGTGTTCTGAAAATCAAACTGGGAAACGAGTATGCATTAAAATGGCAATATTGGATTCTAGTTTCTATCACAAAATTGCCAAGTCGCCGATATACATATAGTAAAACTCATTCATTTTATAAATCTCATTAAATATCTCGGGAAATCAAGGTAGGAATAACCATTATACATTAGACAGGACTAAAGAACATGTAAATGGAGTTTGCATACCCCGCCCACCTACCTACCACTTTATTTGGTATTTTGAATTGTTCTCGGATAATGCAGTCTGGAAATATTGATCGCAGAAAAATGAATGGCCCGTACACCCCAGTCACATTTGTCGTACGGAGGCCGTGCGTCGACCGCAGATCAATTAAATCAGTGTATTTATGCGTCGAGCGTAGAAAAACTACGCTAGCCTTGCGGCCTCCGTACGGCGTATCCAGTTTTTTACAGGCCGCAGGGTCGCAGTAGAAATTATAACTCGGAGTAACACCCCAGTCACATTTGCCGCACGGCGGCCGCAAGTCGACCGCAGACCAATTAAATCGGTGAATTTCTGCGGCGAGCGTAGAAAAACTACGCTAGCCTTGCGGCCTCCGTACGGCGTATGCAGATTTTTACAGGCCGCAGGGAAGGCGTAGAAATTATAACTCGGAGTTATAATATTTGTTCATTTCTGAGGTCTCCGTAGAAATCAACTGGCTCAACAAGATTGAATCATTATTTGTCAAGGTTTCACGATCACTTTCCATTTGATATTACATCCTAGCACTATGAATAACATTTATAAATTGTCCCGATGTAAATAAAATGAAAAAAAGTATTATTTATCAACAGAAATTTAAAATTCACCGTGCGGCTGCCGTGGGAAATGTGACTGCAAAAGTATGAGAGCGCAGAAATTCCACGGCGAGCGTAGAAATGTTACTGGCCGCAGAAATGATAGACCGCAAGGTCGCCGTAGGAAATGTGACTGGGGTGTAAGGGCAGTACATATGAAGAATCAAGGGGAGCACACTGGGGGTGGCAAAAATTCTCGTTGGGGTACATGTTGATGGAATACGTAGAATTGCCGTGTTGCACAAGTTCATTGTTTAAGGCTGGCGCTAAAGTCCTTGATGTGGGATCAGAGAGACAATAAACATATATTTTTTATATGTGCTTGATTCAGTCGACTCATTTGGCGGATTTTCTACATAATATTTGTGCTACACGAAATGTGGTATTTCCTAAATCTAAATATGACTGCGTTATTTGAGAATTAGTTGACGTTTCGTTATTCTGTTTACTAACTTAAAGATTATCTCTAGTCTGTTCAGTTCAGTCCATTCAAACGATATCGCCTGATACTGATCGGGCCAATTTGGGTTAATAGGCCATCGTAGTCTTTTAAATCAGTCAAACAGTTTAAGTGTTTGATTAAGATACTTGTGTATGTAAAAAAGTGGACGCACGTAGTCTCGTGTATAAATGCACTTTCATTTGTTTTATGATTAGTGATACCATCTCAAGTGGATTGTGGCTCAAGCTATGGCCGTAAATTAATGATAATTTCGTGATAGCTAAAATGCCGCCTGGAGTTGTTGTTCTGATGACGTTTCAAGTAAACAAATGGCGGACACCTGTTGCTCGATTGCTATGATAACTGTACAATATTTACATGAGGAGATGCTTTTAGAGTCATAATCCATGTTCTTTTTAACTACATTGATATTCTCTTAACCGAAGACATCAGAAATCCAGAGGAATCCATGGTGATAAGCGACACGAAGAGGATTTAGAAACCAATCAAGTCTACTGTACACTAGATCTACTAAGCAAGCTAAGCGGCAGGTGATTTTAACGAAGGTAGGCCTTATACCTCTCATTATGATATAAAGGTTTCTTAATATATAAACATGTTGACTTCTTTATTGACTACTGGGTACGAGTGCACTTTAACACAGCCTACTATAATTCATAAATGAATTGGCTCAGTTGCAAATAAAAAACCTTCCATTATTACTGATCATACAAGTACGTGGATATTAAAACTACGGCTGATTGATGTCTAAAACATGAATGTCTATTTCCCTATTTAACTTTATTTAAATTTGTGTTTATATTTGTTATAGCCAGCTTAAGAATAAACTAAACAATACTATGGCATTTGTTAATGGGCTATCCAGGGTGACTTTTATCACAGGCTTATAAACTTAAGACAGTGTCACATTCTACTTGACCTCATTGGGTGAATGTCTGTCAACGGGCCTGATCACTTACATTAAAATTAATTGTTTTGTTCTTGTTTTATCATTAATTGATTAGATATCTCATGTACATGTAAAATCTATTTTGCGAAATTATCATTGAATGTATAATTTGTTTCACTGTACTGTGACCTATAATTGTCTCATGTCATCTTTGTTTTGTATTAATATGGGTACCTTAAAATTTATGAGTCCACACTTTACTTAATGCATTCGTCCTCTATGGAGCAAATGACTAGAACAGAACGGAACAGCCGGCTTGGAATAGAAGCTTATTTTTTATTTGATTTACTAATTCATAGATTCTTGTGTGCTTTGTGTACATTTATTGAAACAACTAATGGTTCTTGATGTGATAAATTTATTTATTTATGTATTTTGTTCCAGGGTATCTGACCAACTGGAAAACCACAACGACTGGATGATTTTGATTGTTAGTCATTGACACATCTGTCATTTCCAAACTATATTACCTGAAATATAGAAGAGAGAGAGATAGTCATGATGACAATGGAAGTCACGGCAACCTAACCATTCAAGCATGGAGTCTGCCGACCACTACACAGAGGGTTATGAATCAGATTCAAGTGAGGCAGGAGATCTCGGCCTTGGTCTAGGATTAAGGCCAGGTGGTATTCCAGTTGATGTCGTACCTGATAGATTGTACTGTGTCCCTAATGTTTATCCAAAGGTCATGAATGACTTTGTCGCATCTACGGAGGACGATCCTGATATCAATCCAGCCTTGACTGAAGAAAAGGTGTCATCACACTTTAAGAAATGGTTTCGTAAAACGAAACGGGATTTGAAATCTAACAATTGTTCAAGTGATTCTGATGACAGTGACTTAGCAAGCACTCACAAAAGTCAAAGTGGGAATGATGACAATCTGTCTGGTGAGAGTTCCCCAAAGGCACCCGGTGCAGATGAAAAAATAGATGCATTGGAACAGGTTCTAGCAGAAAATAAACGTTTAGAGTCGGAGCTTGACAAATGCCAAAAACAACTTCAGGCCAAAAACAGAGCAATTGATATGTTACAAAAGAAGATTTCACAGAGCCAAACAGAACACAATGAATACCAAACACGAATAAAATCAGTAGAGACGCAACTGGCAAAAGAAGTTAACAGCCTGCAGTTTGATGTAGAGTACCAGAAAAGTTTATTTCAGGACAGCCAATCAACCTGGAATGAAAGGTTTGAGAAACTTTGCCAAGAAAATTCTTCATTGACTGAGAAAATCAATGCAAAAGTAGGAGAACTAAAGAAAGTGGAGCGAAACAATGCAGTTTTAAAGGATCAACGAGATGAACTGTTAGAACTTTTGACTGTGCAAGACCAGCAAAAATTCCAACGTAATCACGAACAATCTACTCCTACTGGACGAAACGCTATGTCTACAGCTGCAGAGATGGTCACATTGGGGGCTTGTGTGTGTCACGTGGTACAAGATCCATGTAAATGTGCAATGACTGCTGCAGACCTCAAGAAACAGTTGATCACTGTAAAGGAAGAGAATTTGAATTTGAAAAAGCTCCGAGAGGAAAGTCTAAACACTGTTGATGCCTACAGAAGTGCATTTGATGATCAACTGAATACCAACAAAATGCTCATAACGGAAGTGGCAGATCTGGCAATAATGCCTCAACCCTCCCGCGTAGAGAAGGCGAAGAACGTACTTACTTGGATAATAAAGCAACTAAATGAAGAAGAACCTCCCCCTAAACTACCTGAGGCCTGGAAAGCTTGGAAGGAAAAAATGTCAACCTCAAAGGAGGAGAACAGCGTTCCAAATAAGAAACCAACTATTAAAGAGATTGTGCCCTTTTCTGGTATTGAAATATCAATAGAGGGTATATCAGTGAGCTGTCATGGCGAGCGGGAACTGATTCAAACGATGCTTCAACTAGTCCATGATAAAACTGAAGCACTTGCACATTCCAAGATTAATACTAAACTATTTGCCAGCCGAGTAAAAGAACTGGAAGACATAGTTTCACAATACAAACATATTGATGAAGAAAGGGCACATCGTCTTTTGAAACAAGTCGAATACTAACTGCAAATAAATACTGGTTAACTATCCAACTTTCAATAAAGGATTAAATGTTATTTTCTTTGGGTGTTGAACAACTGTACATCATTTAGGGGAGTTTGGTTGAATAACAGTGGCAAATATTTCCCAATGTTCATGACTGAATCACAACACAACTTGGATAGTATTAAGCGTTGAAGTTAGAGTAGAGATAGTTGTCGCCCCCTTGGTACTGCCTTTATATGGGGGGAGTAATGTGACCCGGGTTAATAATCTGTTTTGCAATTGTAATGGGACGTTTAATTTAAGGTTTGAACATTTTCAGTTTTGACACGAATAGGCTAATCAGTGATAAATTAATACATAACGTATACTCATCAATAAAATGATCTACTTTGATCAAGTTTGTAACCCATCTTGAATACTAGTATTGAAATTCTTCCACTATGAAAGTGTTCATACATTAAGTTAGACCCATGGTTTATTTTTGATATCTCTAGTACGTACATTGCTCTTATACATACCTGCCAACCTACCGTATTTTTACGGGAATCTACCGTAAATTTTTCGTTTTTCCGTAAAAAAATGACAAACTACCGTAAAAAAATACCATTTTTTTCCCGTAAAAACGCCCGTAAAAAAATCTACCGTATTTTTTTCGTAATCTACCGTAAATTTTATTTTTAAAAAACTCGTTTATTCCATGAGAACGGCCGTAAAATCTACCGTAAATTTTTGAAAATCTACCGTAAATTTTCGAAAATCTACCGTATTTCTGCTAAAATCAACAGTTTTTTTGTTCAAACTACCGTAAAATTTCCCGTTATTCGTTGGGAAATGCTGAAAAATTGAAGTCTCCCTGTACTGTCCCTGTAATATTCCTTCAACAACCCGAATATATATAGGTATCGGCAGGTCTGTGGTTATCAGGTTATTGCGCATTTATATAAGTAAGCTTGCGTGTAATCAGTCCAAACACCAACTACCACTAGCTAGAAAGAATTCTTTCTGCCATGATTTTTGTAGTTAACCAAACCCTTTTGTACACAGATCTTTATTCCGAATGCAACAAAAATATGATTTTAGTTGCGCTTCATCTAAATAAATGAGTGGAAATCATTAATGCGTATGCATATTTAGCGTATGAAATATGCGTAGTTTGATTTGTTATGATCAGTAATGAACGCCACATATACATTATACATAGTTTAATCAATTTGTTTACAGTACGATAAAATGTTGTATTTTTCATCAGAACATTTTATCAGTAACAAATACATAATTAAAAAATAAAGCATTGAGTTCTGGTTTATTATAAAAGTATTGTGATATCCGAATCTGAACGATGTCTCAGTGGAAAGGTTTCAGCAAATGCTCATAACAGATTATTTTTGAAAGACAATTGATCTGTACTTATTTTCTATTTGTGCCAGACAAACACGTTGATATCATTAGAGACTTGCGAGTGAACAAAGCAATATTTAATACCATATGATTCCAATGTTATATGAACATTATGTCTGTCATTTCAATTCGTTAGAGTGATAGATCATCTAAGATGGTGAGTAAAAACGTGTAAAATCCATATTTTGTATTTCAGTAAATGTTTCATTCATGGTATTTCCAAACATCCTGATATCTAAAAAACTGGTTAGAAGGTGAATAAAAGTGGAGATATGAATATTGTGTTCGTATTCTGAATCAATCTAGATTTATTGTAAAAGAGTTGTAAAAGAGTTGTATATGTACATTTTGCTGAAACATTAAAATCCAAAGTTGCTGTCAGTCCATTGTAGGCATGGTAAATGAAAAATAAAAACGTGTTTAGTCTCTATTAATTTTTGAAAATAGTATATCTATTTTTTCTTGAAAATAATAGTTTCGTATAATTCTCAGGTAGTAGTTCTGATTTAACAACAATATGACCACGTAAACATTGTATTAATATAGAAAACCGCACTGTATAAAGGTTTAACTACCGCATTTTTCAAAATCTACCGAAAAATACCGCATTTTGGCAAATCTTCCGCAAAAGTACCAGTTTTTCAAATAATTACCGTAAAAACTACTGCAATTTTCAAAATCTACCGTAAAACTACCGCATTTTTTCAAAATCTTCCGCAAAAGTACCGTTTTTTCAAAAAATTACCGTAAAAACTACCGCAATTTTCAAAATCTACCATAAAACTGCCGCATTTTTTCAAAATTTTCAGCAAAACTACCGGTTTTTTCAAAAAACTACCGTAAAAACTACCGCATTTTTTCAAAATCTACCGTAAAACTACCGCATTTTTTCAGAATCTTTCGCAAAACTACCGGTTTTTTAAAAAACTACCGTAAAAACTACCGCATTTTAAAATCTACCGTAAAACTACCGCATTTTTTCTAAATCTTCCGCAAAACTACCGCTTTTTTCAAATTTTACCGCAAAATTACACTTTTTTCAAAAATCTACCCCAAACCTCTGAAACTACAGTATTTTTTTAAAATCTACCGCAAAAACTACCGTATTTTTTTTAATCTACCGCAAAAACTACCGTTTTTTTTTAAATCTACCGCAAAAACTACCGTTTTTTTCTAAAATCTACCGCAAAAACTACTGCAATTTTGTTGAAAAATACCGCAAAAACTACCGTATTTTGAAAAAATCTACCGCAAAACTACAGCAATTTAAAAAAAATCTACCGCAAAATTTTGGTCTTAGGTTGGCAGGTATGCTTATATATCATTTGTGTATTGGTATTAACCTATATGTAAGGAAATCAGCCTTGTATTGTTAAGTTATGATCTACTGTGCCCTGTTTAAACATTTCAACGACACATTTATGACACTTTAACAAGTTTTTAAATTATTTATACAAGGGCTATTTTGTAAATTGTTAGAATACACGCAACGTACAGACATAGGCATATTCGACATAGTAAATGAATGAAATCATGTGCAGAAATTCAGAATTCAATTTTGGATAACCTGGCTATAGATATAACGATTGCCTAGTATTGTATTGGTGGTAATGTATAAATATACTCAGATGTTTCCATATACCTGTATACCAGTGTAATCACAAGGGAAAATGAAAGTACCTCATTGGTACTTTTTAATTATTTATAATATTTGTGCCATACATAACATGTATCACTACTTATCATAAAAGTGGATCACATATCAAATAATGTCTCAAAGTACATAATTATTACTTAGTACTATGAACTATTGTAGTTAGGCAAATGTAGATTAATACAATTTAATGATATAAAAACATAATTAGTTAAAAACTCAACAAGTTTTGTTTGTGGCATGGAACATGGGCTTTCTCGATATGAATTCATATATCCACATATTCCTCACCACGCTAACCCATTGCCCCCAGCAGGCCCTTCATCCATTCACCCTCCCCGACCATATTCAACAGTGTCTTTAAGTGTTGAATGTTGGGAAAACAAATACTTCAATTCTAAATCAGCTCACCAACATAACCAATGACTTGGGCGACATCTTTTTATTTTATTGTTGTTGAAACCATTTGCATTGTGCTTGTTGAATATTATGTAAAACATGGAGAGAACACTGACTACGAGCTTATAGAAAACAGTTCCCAGTGTTTATCGGGGGCTTGTCTCGCTTCTCATTATAAAATCTGTTGACCACGATCAGATGGAATTTCGAAAACTATTTACTTAAATACAACACCCCTGTATTTTCCCATTTCCCCGCTATTTCTAAATATAAAACTGAATGCTTTCTGATCGGAAGATATCAATGAATGAACTCATAATGTTGTATGCATGTTGGAATCACACCTTGAATATCCTGAATCACCTAAATATGATGTTATTGTATTAAATTGAATATGTTATATATATTGTAGAGTTACCGAGCTATGTGACCCTTCATGTATGTGTGACACTTCTACTTTTAACCCAGTGTGCGGAAGCGATAATCTGAACTACGCCTCTCCCTGTCTTGCCGGCTGTACTACTATGCAACGGAATAATGTAGGTGTAAAACATACTAATACTGGCATTTATGTATAAATAAATATGTTGATAGGAAATCAAAATGACTTGATAAGTTGAACGAACATCTGGATTCAAATGGTCTTTTGACTTCATGTGTTACGCGGTATATGGCATACAGTTATGGGTTCGCGGTATTTGAGATACAACTTGAGTGAATATGGCATACTCACCTGCGGTATCTGACACATTCCGTACTGCATATTCCGCATTGAAATATGATATACTAGTAGTGAATACATCATATTAACCTGCGTAATATGACATATTCACTCGGAGAATATGACATACACGTTGTGGAATATGGCTTTAGTGCGCGGTGAACGTCAAACGTCATACAAAATTTTCTCGATTTGGTTGGTTCAGAGAATCAGCACTAAATGTAAAACCATAATGGATTACCATTGTTTTTATCGCTTCGAGCACTACACTATGAATCCTGGAGTGGCTGAGTAAGTTTATTACGTGTGATGGGTAGATGATACTTCTGAAAGTATCAGTAACATATACAGCGTGATCGAGTACTCGTGTTTTTCAGGTTTTTATCTGATCTTTGTAAACGGTTGACTTGGTTGTAAAAGTCACCCATAAGCTTCACAAACGTAGGTTCGCGTTCTCATTGGTTAATATGCCATATACCGCATATGAATCTGTCATACATCGCAAGTGAATATGCCATATTCGTTGCGGAATATGACATATTTGTATCGTGTTTACCGCGTAACATCATGCATCTTTGGAATTGAACTGAATGAATATAATATTTTCTTTATTGCACCGAGGTGAAATGGTCGGGAATTTGGTGCGGAAGTCCGGGGTTCAATTCCCGCACGGGGTATTGAATTTATCACACTACCTTTCATATCTTTCTCTAGCTTGGCTCCGCCCTCGGGTCGTTATAATATCTGACAACTTTTTAATTTTATTTGTTTTACTCTATACAGACGGAGACATTGTACTCAAACTGTGGATGCATCAACAATATAAATGCATCGTTACCTAGCAACCATCTGGTAGATGGCAGTGCTGTTCCCGGCGTATGTGATCCTGGATGTAAAACAGTTTGGGGCTTTGCTGCTGTTCTAATTCTGATCACATTGGCGCAATCACTCTTTGGCATTCCAGGAATGAAAATTTTGCTAAGGTATAAAGGGCTTAATGCGCATGTCTGAATCTCCATTTTAGAAAAATGCTATACCTGCCCATGTCACTTTAAAGATGAAGCATGACTGGAATAGAGGGCAATCCTTTTTACTGAATAAGAAACTTAATTGATATGAACTTTAGGTAGTGATTAAACGGTGATCGTTTTGTATATTTTCTTGAAATTTCTTTTCTCCAAATTCTTAGAGTTTGCATCGTTTACCATGTTTCATAAAAGTAGATAAAGTAAACAGTTACTTTCGTGAAAAGTAAAGAAATATACTCGATCGATCCATTGCACATTATCATTTGACTAGAAAAGACATAGACGGGCGGGGGGTTGAATTTAGATAATCGAAATCAATCAGCGTTCCTGGGACGGCCAACTTATAACTGAAGCGATTACATCGGCAAATAACTTTTAAATCAATGTGCGGTTTAATCCAATTATTGTAAGAGTAAATATATAATCGTCACAAAAAACATTTTTATCAATGACATTGATTCTTATATTTCTAGGTGCGTCGACCAACAAGACAGGGCGCTGGCATTTGGCGTCTTGACAGCTATCGTGGTAGTTTGTGGTAAGATTGAAGAAAGGTTCTTCATTTTCGATTCAACGTCATACTTTAAAAATGCAATTAGGGCTACTCATTAACTATGTTAATGCCACATTTCATTTATTGCACCATGTATTATGGAATATTCTAACTACAAGCCGTTGACCCCCCCCCCCCCCCCATTGCACACCTCCCAACAACTCGTGTGGGAAGTGTTCATACCTGAGGTCAAATAGTAGGGGGGGGGTCACAGAGGATTGTAGCTAAGATGATTATGGAATATGTAGTATATATATTCCATATAGGCCTGTATGTCACCGTCTGCAAATGGTTGAAAAGTGCAGTATTTTAAAGGGACATGACACCGCCGACCAAATAGTAGAAACATTAATCAAGTAAATAGCTGACTGAGATAATATGGCACCACATCTTAGTGCTGACATAACAATGTCGCATATACTTACAGGTATTACATGTAAAATATTTGTATTTCAGCTCTTCCAAGCCCTGTCATTTACGGTAGCGTCATCGACTCCACGTGTTTGGTCCAACAAGAATTACCATGTGGCGGTGGCAGGGGCTACTGCAGCCTCTATGACCTTCAACCGTTACGTGTTCGCTTACACGTGCTTACAACTGGCCTAAAGATTGCAGCAACTCTCACTTCATTAGTAACTCTGGTCCTATGCTGGAACCCAAAATTTAAATTTGACGATGAACTTGATAAGAGTTCAGAAGAATCCAAAAGTGAAAGTGATACGGACGATCATGAATTGACTGAAATGCTTCCTTCTAAAGTGGTAGACATTGATAAACCTCAACCATCAAAAGTTGTCACAATGAGTTAAATTCTAAGTTTCATGTCTCAAACTCTCCCAAGCGGTAGAAAAAAAATAATTCCCGTTCACTTTAAGTAGCACAATAAATGAATCCAAAGCTTCATAACTGCAAATGATGGATAAATTCCTACGAATGTTTTCGTGGATCGCCATGTTTGTGATCCAAGGTGGATTGAATCCCAGAATGCAACATCAGTTAATCTTACTTACATTTTGAAAGCTGGCACGCGTCATGTTGCATTCTGGGAGCCAATCCTCCTTGCGTTGTAATCGGGCTCCAAAATCACCTCAACATTTGAAGAATCGGCATTAACATGAGAATATCACTTCAAATTTTTAAGTTCCTATTTGTCATTATGGACACAAATTCCATTATATTTGTACAGTCCGGGACGGAGAAAATAGAGCACTCAATTCACTGAGGTAAGAATTTATGACATATGTGACAGAATGTCTTTTTCATAGTGTTAGTAATTATTTATGTTCACCACTGTAGTGTGTAAAGTTTAACGTTGGAAAGTCATCTGAGAATCAAATACAACATTGGACTATAAATGCACATAAATATACATTTGAGACAACGATCATAGTGTAAAATACAATTCACCATATTTCAGTCACTTTAAATAGACTCTGTACATGATGTGAAGATTGTTAGATAAGCAGCTCACTCTAAGATACACATTTGAAGACACACATCGTATGCTACATACGAATAAAGTGTCTCAGGTATAAACACACATATTGAATACTACATAAGAATAAAGTGCCGGGGTGAAAACAATGATCGGGTTGTGGTTGGGGGAGTTGCCGAGCGTGCCATTGGTCTGCAGAAAGACACATACTATATGCTACATACGAATAAAGTGTCTCAGGCCTAAACAATGACCAAGTTATGGTTCGGGGAATTGCCTAGTCCAACAACATTAGACCTAGCCTGGGCCTCGTTTCTTATCTGACATGTCTTATGGCCCCGGCTAGGTCTAACCTCCATGACCATTTTGCCCTTGATGCGTTAATTTAATCGTTCCGCAGGTTCCGACAAGCGGAACTAATTAAACTCCGAAAACATGGTAATATTACATAAAGAATGTGATTCAAGCATGCATACATACCTTATAAATACATACATACCATCCCGTATCCCCCTTAGACCATATTGATGCATAATTACGAAAATATTGGAGACAGGTTTGGAATTTTACGAAAATATCGGCCAGCTCCGGTAACATCGAAATTGCAAATCGGTTTGCAATTAATAACTATTTTGTGTGTATACAAGCGCTATATAAATCAATCAAAGATACCTGCTATCCTCAAAATGGTTATTTTATCCCGAGTAATCGCGTGATAATTATCAATCTATTTGACAACAATTTCGTTTCAATAGTTTAAATTTTAACCCGGGACGAACAGACACAATGACGGACATGCGGAAATGTCATTTTAGAGATTGGTAAGTTTAACCTCATTTTACTTGTATAAATGACCATTTCATACAATAATATTGTGTTGAATCGCTTGATGTTATGTGTTTTTATATTGTTGTCAAGTATCAGTTGCATGTTTTGGCGGAAAAATGGTTTCGGTGGATCCAAAACTTGCATCAATGGAAAGAATAGTAAAGAGGTTAAACTCAATAACGGCCCCAAGAAAATTCTTAATAATAAATAACGCCGTTATTGAGTTTAACGACGTTGAACTAGGAATTGCCAAGTGTGTCATGGGTCAGCAGAAAGACACATACTATGCAACATACGAATAAAGTGTCTCAGGTCTAAACAATGACCGAGTTATGGTTCGGGGAATTGCCAAGTGTGTCATGGGTCTGCAGAAAGACACATACTATATGCTACATACGAATAAAGTGTCTTAGGCCTAAACAATGACCAAGTTATGGTTCGGGGAATTGCAAAGTGTGTCATGGGTCTGCAGAAAGACACATACTATATGCTACATACGAATAAAGTGTCTCAGGCCTAAACAATGACCGAGTTATGGTTCGGTGAATTGCCAAGTGTGTCATGGGTCTGCAGAAAGACAACAGTCCGTAGTTGGCTGCAGTCTATTTGTATCTTCTCTTTCAAGGGCGCACCCCCCACATCGTTAGTGGAGCTACTCGGTAGTCTGTGATCGTTTTAAAGTGTGGCCTTACCTCAAAACAGGCTCATCAGATTGCCAGTACATCGGGGAATATCTAATTCTTATAAAATGACAGCTATCCATTTAAAGAGAGAATCAGAGATATCGAGCAGGCTAAACAAAAAAGTGTTCCAATTTTAGAATATTTTTGGCTTATGTCATTCCTTGTCATGTCTATTTTCTAAAATCACAAAAGTGCATACTTTATTCCAGGAAAACTAACGATTTTTACACTAATATATTATTTTTCTATAAGAATGGTTTCCATTCTTATTATTTGGGAGAATTAAAACATTTTTCACCCACTTTTGCACTTTGAATCATCAATAACTTCACCAATTTATTACATATTGTGAATCTTTTTGGAGAAATTGTATTTGATATTGTAAGGAATAGATCGGTCGGTCAATTAGACAAGTTGCTTGTGATTTTGTCACCCCTATAGATCTGATTCTGCCTTTAATTACGGAAATTTAATTACTCAGGCTGCGTTTAATTAGAGACATTTACAGTGTATCTACATATATCTTATATGTCTCTGGATTCGCCTCTGTATTGTAAAGGCCTTTATAATGATTTTGCTGATTAAACTGATTGCGTAAACAAATAAACTAAGGGAAGAGAAGATATAATTCGAACACAGTATTTCACATAACTTCATTTTATTAACCAATAACCAACCCAAGGTCATTCATTGAAAGGACTCTACAGATTGTAATAAATACTTTGTCAACTCGATTAATTCTTGCAAAAAGTTCCATTGAAAATATGTTCTTAGTGATTTCGTACATCTTTTAGATGATTTCGTTGAAATATTTTGCAATGTGTAAAAAAATCCCAAGACTTGATGCATTGTGGCTAATTCATTCCACCCGGTTGTTATTTCCTAAACTTCACACAATTACACTCGATGCTGCGCATCTCGTGCAAAGATTGAAGCAACACCTGTGGAATGATACAGTCCACATTGCTCTGAGTTCACGGCTTAAATGACAAACCGAAAGTGCCATCTTTCATAATGCCGTTCATCATTCACGTGTATGTATTATCTTAAGTGTTATTTTAAAGTAAGAGTCAATAGCCCAACTTTTTATACCCGAGCATAGCCGTCCGGTGATCAGGGTTGTCATTCATGTTTTGTCCAAAAATGATGGTATACTCCCACCCCCATGCGTCTTTAGCAGATAGAAAGGGGGTTAAACCGAAAACATATCGCAACCTGCCATTATGTTAATCTTGATTTTGTACCTTAATTTCAATAGTTCGGAAAATTAAAAATTGATAATTGATTAATCGCCAAACATAAATGGGCTACGACAAATTCAAGAGGAGACTTCACGTTGAATTCTTGATACCATTTACAATTGTCAAGTGCTTTATGGAATGACGTAATAATATAACCATAACATCATATCGAGTCCCACGTTCTTCATTTAAAACGAAAGGATTTGTCCAAAGTTTCGACATGGATCCACTTTTGATTAATCCTGAGTTTGCCTTGCAAAAGCTGACGGGCAGTATTACGTAAGTAAAATGTGTTTTAACTCACAGATGTTGGCCAGATCGTTTTGTAGTTGGATCTCATAGGCTCAAAGAATAATTCAGGAATACTTGTTGAGCTACTGATCCCTACAAAAGAATCTGGCCGGGATCTATGTTTTAACTAAAAAGATGGTGATATATTTAAGATAAGCGTTATATCCAGGGCCTTAACCTGGCCGACCGGAATATATTTTAAAGGAGCATAGATCTAGAACCTTTAGGCTAGTCTAGTCTTGTGTTTTCCAGAGTAGGTGAAACAGTGTCTGAAATCTTCCAACAACGTGCCAAATGCCAGTATGAATACGCCCGAAAGATTAAATCTATCAACGAGGCAGTGAGTAAAAAGGTCAAAGGTACAAACACAAACGTAAAATTCAGAAACACGAAGGTTCAAGTCATTATTTTTAGTAGCGATTAACTGGATTCCGATCAGATTGAATTCCTGAATATAATGAGCCCGGAAACTGTGATGACTTCAAAGGTTTCTATTAATCGCAGATGTTACAATGACGTAATGCGCTAAAGGGTCTGAAAATACATTACATTCCGCCATTGAACATTATATGGTTTTTAGGAGTTAAGATGGATACCAATCTAGCCACACTCATCACGCGAATATGTGATGAAAATACAGAGGAGTCGAAGATGTTCACAAGAAGCGCTGATGCTATTACGGCTGACGATGGACCGCTTTCAAACGTTTTAGAGTAAGTATCGCATTTAGAATTTCACGAATAACCGTTTTAACATCTTCGGCTGAGATTGAAAACAACTTTTCTTTGGAAGACTTTTATTATTGGATTCGAATTAAAGTTGTATGTGTCACACACACACTCTCACGCACGTACGTACGCACGCACGCACGCACGCACGCACGCACGCACGCACGCACGCACACACACACAATAATCCAGGCTAATGTTACATTAGGCCTAGGAGGTTAAGTTACACGTTTTTAAGAAAAATACAGTCCCGCTCTCAATCCAGTTTGCAAGGGACCTAATTACAATTATTTTCCGCATACCCTTATGTCAATCGGCCAAGTAAATAATACGAATGGGAGGACGTTCAAGAACAAGTATTTTTCAAAAAACGTGCTGTTTGAAGACCTCAAGGGCACTTTATCACTATATTGTATTTTGGTTCCGTTTACTCTATTATCATAGTGTTGATTATTACTCATATCACAATCATCATTTCACTATTCCGTAGACTGTTTGATAAGGAAAAAGACCAGCAGTTGCGAGCGAAGCTGAGCCATGGCAAGAAACTCTGCAGGTCACAACAAAGCAGACAAACACAGATAGACGCCTTGTTACAAGTATGATGAGAAACACATGCGTTAATAGATAAAGAGCATGCCCTGATATATTTCGTTTTAAAACAACAGTAACAACATATCAATGAAATCTAGAACTAGAACTTGATTAATACACTAGTGTCTCAATAGTTGCAGATAAAGGTATTCACACTAAAAGCATTTATACATTTATTAATTTGATTTTTATTCACGATAAGAAACAGAAGAAATACGACTCTAGGCTATCCACTGTGAACAAGGCACTGACCGAAGACAGAAATAAATACAAGAAGACGTCACTTGGAGATTACGAAGAGTTAAAAGATACACTGAACGAAAAACTAATAAAATGCAACGCTGAACTTAAGGCAAAGAAACAAGATGAACTTCACTGCAGACCTTCGTTCATAAAGGTATAGTCGATCATTTAATCATGGAAATATATTAAACATGGATCAGCGCATAACTCACTGTAGACCATCGTACATAAAGGTACTATATAGTTGACAATTTACTGGTTATCTTGAAAATATTTAGATAGGGGTACGCGCAGAACTAAAAATAGTTATATCACGGCCATAAATTAAATTTGGTTCAATCCTTATTCCTGCAAAAACACATTTCATGAACAGTTCGGTATCCTTTTCATGTTTTCTTTCATCCATCAGAAAATGCAAGATTTGGGGCAGATGTATGTTGAGAGGGACTCAACGAGGATAGTACAAATCAGCGAAGAGGCAAAGAAATACATGAATTGCTTAGACGTTGACAGGTATGTGTACCTAAAAGTTGTAATTACTTTATATACATAATCGCAAGAATGTAACATTGATTGACTTTTTAAGTCAACTATTTATGAAATTATCAAAAGATTATAAATGTCTTTTTTCTTCAGATACACCATTGAAATGCTTAGAGAAAATGTTTTAGAAATGTCCGAAGTTATCGACAAAACAAAGATGGAGGATCGACTGACGACAGTGCTATACAAACAGTGGACATTCCCAAATGATCCTCCAGAAATGGTTAGTCTTTTGTAGTCACCACATCTGATTATGCAGGACTGAAATTAGCTACTGTCTTTATCTCACTGGTACATGTGGCATGTTTACGTGTTATAGGTAACTATAACTGCAGACGAGAATCTGTCAATAGAAACACATGAACCTGTTCCGGAAGGTATATCATTAAGCGTCCCCGTGTCTCATGAAGCACCGTTGACGAGAAAGCGGGGATCCTCCAAATCTCCGAGGAGAGCTGGCGCAAGATCTGTATCTCCCGTCCCTGATAGTCCCCGCACGACAGAAGTAGAAGTCCTCCTTGAGAACATAAAGAGCTCGCCACCAGCTCCACGTAAAGAGCGGTACTTTAGAAAACCATCCAATCTGACTGTGCGTGCAGATCATATGCAAAATGACCAATCCCAGATCGAAGAAATTAACGAGGTTTGCGAGAATGACGGCCACATGAGGCTCAAGCGGAAACTGACTGAGGAGCAGGTTAATTTTGATGTGTTCAGCGGTGATTCGGGCAGTGACCAAGATAAGAACCACAACGTAAAAGGAAACAACGATGCAACCATAGGTAAACAAATAGGAAATTCTACAACAAATGCTTATCAACAAGATATAAAGGCCACGACGTAATCCACAACAATGATGCAACCAAAAACATAACAAAGTTTAAAAATTGTCGAAATTTCTACCATTAATTGCTATTTCTTTGAACAAATTTTTTAGAGCGTACATTTTTATCTAAATTGACTTACTTAATGACTTTATTTTAGACTCCGACCTTTCCGAAAAAGAAGAAGCAATTATGCCAAAATTGAACAGTTTCGCCTGGGCAGCAGCCCCTAGTATGGAAAATAATTCATTAAATCCAAAAGCTAATGAGACGGAAAATGTCCCTGAAGTCAGTAGCGCAGTAAAGATAGGAAACCTCTTCATGGCCAGCAAATTCAAACAGGAACCAGCACAATCCCCCGTCAGGTTCGTAGGATACGACGATGAAGCCAAACATAGTAAGACGACTACTGTGGACAAACGATTAGCTCAAGCAGTCAAAGAACTCAACGAAACTGATAGCGACTCCGGGTCAGATCGAAATTGTGTAAAGGAAAAAAATGCATCTTTTCTGAATAGTCAATATGTCGGTGATATGTCGAATATAAAGGTGGTAGGAATCGATTATTTCTTGGCGGAGAAACCAAATGAAATGAATATTACACCAGGTAATTATTAAAACTGGTAGATTCAACGCTTTTTGTGTACTAAATGTAGTATTTAATTAAGAGTTAATCCTTCTAAATAATCATCCCAAATCCTTAAAAACATTCTGTAAAAACACGGTTCTTTATGTAATGTTGACTGATTGACAATTGTTTTTTGTTCCTTTCTACCAATTCTTCAGGATGAAATAAAATATCTTTCCAAACCTTGTTGGAATAAAATAGCATATTTAACATTTTCTTAGCCCTCTCAATATGATAGTTATACAAAGGATATTTTGGTTGATTGAACAAAAAGTATTCAAAAATTTAAAAAAACTCCCAAAATTGATAAAAATTAAGATAAACTTTTTATTTCATTGACAAGATATTTTTTCAAATCAACCAAACTTTCCTTTGTACAATTACAATATTGAGAGACCTACGCGCCTTGTGTTTATGTCATTTTGTTCCAATGAGTTCCGGATAGATGTTTCATTTCATTCCGAACATACGATACCAAGAACAAAAGACGTGTCTGATGTGTTTTCTAAAACAATATAGAGAAAAGTATATTTTTCAAATTACAGTATTTTTTACGATACACATATAGTGACATTTGCAGTCTGTCTTCACCTTGATTCACAACGTTTCAATCGTTCCAACTATAAAACCTTAAAAGTCGAAGATGGTCTGTCTTATATTTGTTGTTTGGATGGAAGACTCTCATTAAATTGGTTTACGTACCTGATTAGAATATAGAATTGCTGTTTTAAATTGCTATACCTGCAGTTGGTGTATTTATTTACAGGATTGAAACTGATTCAGACGTGTCGCGAGAACTCCTACGGTCGAGCATATGGACATACATACGGAAAGCGGTTCTCTAGCAACAAGGAAGGATTCTACCCATCCAACTGTGTAGAGGTGTACAAAATGAAAAAACACTACGAGTAATCATACAAAACTTATTGGACATGTATAATAAACATAATGTAGTAAGAGGTCCTCATTACCGTTTACCAAATTTAATAAGTGGTGTACGAGAATGATGGCGTAATGATAGCTGACGTCACTGCACTACTTGATGAGGTGTCCGTCAAGTTATTAAAACCAGAGGAAAGCTTCTCTTACTACGTCATCAGCGACTCGTCCCCAAGTTTATTTTCAGTATTATGAGTGCATATTAGGAAAAAAATTGAGTTTTCATACTGTTATGATAATGTTTTTTTAATGTGTGAATCAAATAAACCTCAATATACAACACATTTGTTCTCAATGGATCACCTCGACTTGTCTTGGGTACGAGTTGTCTCGGGTACGAGTTGACCAGTTACCTAGTGATTGATGAATAGTTACTGGTGACATCTGATGCGAAAGTAAACATCGAGATGCTAAAACAAAAATGGACCGGAATACAGATATTTTGAGCGCATCACAAATTCACAATTCGCCAAAATGCTCGGGGTACCTGAAACCAAAAAGCATAGGATTTGATGTAAGTTTAATATTGATGGAATTCGACCAGACAGGAAGACAAACATTGCCTCCAATACAAAGAATTCCATTTTGATCAAAGTCAAATGTACAAATAAACACGAGTGTAGTATCCCTATGAATTTATTTTTTTCTCGTAAATTCTATCGACAAGACATCTTGAATTAGTTTTTAGAATTCCATTTTGATTCATCACTTCACTACATTGCATCATTGTCATAGTATAAAGTTGTAGTGTTTTCAAGGCACTTACGTCGAAAATGTGGCTTCATATCACACACATAGCAAATGTAGATCCCAAATAATCAGGTTCCATTCAAGTTTTGAATGAACGTGGATTTAATTAACTTGGATTTGGATAAAGCTTTGAACAAATAGACCAGCATAAAGGATTTAGGGTTTGCTAAAGTTATGGACTGGGACACAATGAAGATTGTCCTAAATAAGCTGACTGTACAAAACACTATTTTGCTAGAAAACATACATTTGGCATTAGCTATGGAATTGGAGCTCCTCCGTTGGGCTCTGTTGCTCGTTATCCACAAGCCCCGCAGTGTCTTTTTCGGGAGTATCCTTAAACTTAAGTAACAAATTTGGGATCTCTGTCGCCTTGATATCTGCCGATTGTCCATCGTTGTTTTGTTTTTCCAGAGTTTTCTCTGCATCATTTTCATGAACGATAGCTTCGTCTTGTATAATGACTTTCTCTGGAGATGGATTGAATGAAACTTTCAAGTCAGGATTTTTCCCACTCATATCTTTCATTTCATTTTCAGAGTCAATATCAGCTGGTATAGGGCCATGTTCCGCGTCATCGTCGCTTTCAATCTCAGCTTCTGTTTTATTTTTGTTTGATTCTTCATTGAATTTGGCTAGTTCCGTCCGGAATGTACCAGTAGGCCAAGTACCAGAAAGAGAGGATTCCAATAAAGCTCCTTGATATTGTTGACATGGCGCGTTCTTGTTTCTCGGTTTTCTCAGCGCTGCTAAGTTGGTTTGTTCATTTCCTAGAAGAATATGAAAAGTTTAATGAATAAGAGTATAGGAAATATCAAAACTATAAAAAATAAATAAGCAAATTCATGAATGAAAATAACTTGATGAAACATGTTAAATCCAACTTGCAAGAATTCAAAATAAAGATCACTTCTTGAAAATTTTCTAGACTCGTTTGATGTTGGCTGGAGTTAATGTTTAAGGCCCTATATAAAGATTAAACCACTTTGGCTTACATGTTATCAAAATGTGATATGTGAAAATTTTTTAAAGGAGTGGTATCGATATGGTGAACTTTTTGAACACGCCTTTCTCTTAAACCAGTCATCAAAGCAATCTGAAAATTTTACACATCGTCAATTTAAATTTATGGTCATCTTTTGGATGGTAACCTTATAATTTTAAATATGTATAAATACGTTTCTCAATATTGTTTTAGAAAACACATCAGACACTTTTTTTGTTCTTGGTATCATATGTTCGGAATGAAATGAAACATCTATCCTAACCTCATTGGAACAATATGACACAAACACAACGTGTTTAGGTCTCTCAATATTGTAATTGTACAAAGGAAAATTTGGTTGATTTTAAAAAAGTATCGTGTTAACGAAATAAAAGGTTTATCTTAATTTTGATCTATTTTGGGAGGTTTTGTTTTAAGTTTTTGCATACTTTTTGTAAAATCAACCAAAAGTTTCTTTGTATAACTATAATATTGAGAGGTCTAAGAAAATCTTGTATATGCTATTCTGTTCCAACAAGTTTCGGAAAGACATTTTATTTCAGTCTCAAGAATAGGTAGAAAGGAACAAAAAACAATTGCACTAAAAAACAAAATTTTTTAACAAAAACAGTTATATAAAATATATATAAATAATTTTTGCATTAATTTGTTGCCAATCAGTCAACATTACATAAATGACCGTGTTTTTACAGAATGTTTTCAATACTTGGTTTAAGAGAAAAACATTGCTGAATTCAGTTCACCATATCGATACCCATTCTTTCAAAGAGTGTTTTTCAAGGCAAGAAATCAACTCATTTATGCATTAAAGTGGTTCAGAGCAAATATAACATGATGTCGTAATGAAGAGCACGCCCCATGGGCCATGCACAGCTCCATATATATCCAAATAGGGCTAAAGGTGTGTTTAAAGCAAATATAACTTACGTGATGTCGTGATGAAGAGCACATCCCATGCACAGCTCCATATATATCCAAATAGGGCTAAAGGTTAGTGTTTAAAGCAAATATAACTTACGTGATGTCGTGATGAAGAGCACGCCCCATGCACAGCTCCATATATATCCAAATAGGGCTAAAGGTGTGTTTAAAGCAAATATAACTTACGTGATGTCGTGATGAATAGCACGCCCCACGCACAGCTCCATATATATCCAAATAGGGCTAAAGGTGAGTGTTTAAAGCAAATATAACTTACGTGATGTCGTGATGAAGAGCACGCCCCACGCACAGCTCCATATATATCCAAATAGGGCTAAAGGTGTGTTTAAAGCAAATATAACTTACGTGATGTCGTGATGAATAGCACGCCCCACGCACAGCTCCATATATATCCAAATAGGGCTAAAGGTGAGTGTTTAAAGCAAATATAACTTACGTGATGTCGTGATGAAGAGCACGCCCCATGCACAGCTCCATATATATCCTAGGGCTAAAGGTGTGTTTAAAGCAAATATAACTTACGTGATGTCGTGATGAAGAGCACGCCCCATGCACAGCTCCATATATATCCAAATAGGGCTAAAGGTGTGTTTAAAGCAAATATAACTTACGTGATGTCGTAATGAAGAGCACGCCCCGTGCACAGCTCCATATATATCCAAATAGGGCTAAAGGTGTGTTTAAAGCAAATATAACTTACGTGATGTCACGATGAAGAGCACGCCCCATGCACAGCTCCATATATATCCAAATAGGGCTAAAGGTGTGTTTAAAGCAAATATAACTTACGTGATGTCGTGATGAAGAGCACGCCCCATGCACAGCTCCATATATTATATCCAAATAGGGCTAAAGGTGTGTTTAAAGCAAATATAACTTACGTGATGTCGTGATGAAGAGCACGCCCCATGCACAGCTCCATATATATCCAAATAGGGCTAAAGGTGTGTTTAAACCAAATATAACTTACGTGATGTCGTGATGAAGAGTACACCCCATGCACAGCTCCATATATACCCAAATATGGCTAAAGGTGTGTTTAAAGCAAATATAACTTACGTGATGTCGTGATGAAGAGCACATCCCATGCACAGATCCATATATATCCTAGGGCTAAAGGTGTGTTTAAAGCAAATATAACTTACGTGATGAAGAGCACGCCCCATGCACAGCTCCATATATATCCAAATAGGGCTAAAGGTTAGTGTTTAAAGCAAATATAACTTACGTGATGTCGTGATGAAGAGCACGCCCCATGCACAGCTCCATATATATCCAAATAGGGCTAAAGGTGTGTTTAAAGCAAATATAACTTACGTGATGTCGTGATGAAGAGTACACCCCATGCACAGCTCCATATATACCCAAATATGGCTAAAGGTGTGTTTAAAGCAAATATAACTTACGTGATGTCGTGATGAAGAGCACGTCCCATGCACAGCTCCATATATATCCTAGGGCTAAAGGTGTGTTTAAAGCAAATATAACTTACGTGATGTCGTGATGAAGAGCACGCCCCATGCACAGCTCCATATATATCCAAATAGGGCTAAAGGTTAGTGTTTAAAGCAAATATAACTTACGTGATGTCGTGATGAATAGCACGCCCCATGCACAGCTCAATATATATCCAAATAGGGCTAAATGTGAGTGTTTAAAGCAAATATAACTTACGTGATGTCGTGATGAATAGCACGCCCCATGCACAGCTCCATATATATCCAAATAGGGCTAAAGGTGTGTTTAAAGCAAATATAACTTACGTGATGAAGAGCACGCCCCATGCACAGCTCCATATATATCCAAATAGGGCTAAAGGTGTGTTTAAAGCAAATATAACTTACGTGATGTCGTGATGAAGAGCACGCCCCATGCACAGCTCCATATATATCCAAATAGGGCTAAAGGTGTGTTTAAAGCAAATATAACTTACGTGATGTCGTGATGAAGAGCACGCCCCATGCACAGCTCCATATATATCCAAATAGGGCTAAAGGTGTGTTTAAAGCAAATATAACTTACGTGATGTCGTGATGAATAGCACGCCCCATGCACAGCTCCATATATATCCAAATAGGGCTAAAGGTGTGTTTAAAGCAAATATAACTTACGCGATGTCGTGATGAAGAGCACGCCCCATGCACAGCTCCATATATATCCAAATAGGGCTGAATGTGTGTTTAAAGCAAATATAACTTACGTGATGAAGAGCACGCCCCATGCACAGCTCCATATATATCCAAATAGGGCTAAAGGTTAGTGTTTAAAGCAAATATAACTTACGTGATGAAGAGCACGCCACATGCACAGCTCCATATATATCCAAATAGGGCTAAAGGTTAGTGTTTAAAGCAAATATAACTTACGTGATGTCGTGATGAAGAGCACATCCCATGCACAGCTCCATATATATCCAAATAGGGCTAAAGGTTAGTGTTTAAAGCAAATATAACTTACGTGATGTCGTGATGAAGAGCACGCCCCATGCACAGCTCCATATATATCCAAATAGGGCTAAAGGTGTGTTTAAAGCAAATATAACTTACGTGATGTCGTGATGAAGAGTACGCCCCATGCACAGCTCCATATATATCCAAATAGGGCTAAAGGTGTGTTTAAAGCAAATATAACTTACGTGATGAAGAGCACGCCCCATGCACAGCTCCATATATATCCAAATAGGGCTAAAGGTGTGTTTAAAGCAAATATAACTTACGTGATGAAGAGCACGCCCCATGCACAGCTCCATATATATCCAAATAGGGCTAAAGGTTAGTGTTTAAAGCAAATAAACTTACGTGATGTCGTGATGAAGAGCACGCCCCATGCACAGCTCCATATATATCCAAATAGGGCTAAAGGTTAGTGTTTAAAGCAAATATAACTTACGTGATGTCGTGATGAAGAGCACGCCCCATGCACAGCTCCATATATATCCAAATAGGGCTAAAGGTTAGTGTTTAAAGCAAATATAACTTACGTGATGTCGTGATGAAGACCACATCCCATGCACAGCTCCATATATATCCAAATAGGGCTAAAGGTGTAATATATAAAGCAAATATAACTTACGTGATGTCGTGATGAAGAGCACGCCACATGCACAGCTCCATATATATTCAAATAGGGCTAAAGGTGTGTTTAAAGCAAATATAACTTACGTGATGTCGTGATGAAGAGCACGCCCCATGCACAGCTCCATATATTATATCCAAATAGGGCTGAAGGTGTGTTTAAAGCAAATATAACTTACGTGATGTCGTGATGAAGAGCACGCCCCATGCACAGCTCCATATATATCCAAATATGGCTAAAGGTGTGTTTAAAGCAAATATAACTTACGTGATGTCGTGATGAAGAGCACATCCCATGCACAGATCCATATATATCCAAATAGGGCTAAAGGTTAGTGTTTAAAGCAAATATAACTTACGTGATGTCGTGATGAAGACCACATCCCATGCACAGCTCCATATATATCCAAATAGGGCTAAAGGTGTGTTTAAAGCAAATATAACTTACGTGATGTCGTGATGAAGAGCACGCCCCATGCACAGCTCCATATATATCCAAATAGGGCTAAAGGTGAGTGTTTAAAGCAAATATAACTTACGTGATGTCGTGATGAAGAGCACGCCCCACGCACAGCTCCATATATATCCAAATAGGGCTAAAGGTTAGTGTTTAAAGCAAATATAACTTACGTGATATCACGATGAAGAGCACGCCCCATGCACAGCTCCATATATATCCAAATAGGGCTAAAGGTTAGTGTTTGAAGCAAATATAACTTACGTGATGTCGTGATGAAGAGCACGCCCC